GCAGGAGCACTGCAAGGAACTTCCACCCAGGAAACTCCACCTAATTAACTTGCAACCAGACAACGGGAAACTAAGGAATTTCCACTCACAAAACTCCACCCAGGAAGTCTTGCTGTGGAAGAAAAATTCCAGCACTTTCTAGCCAGGTAAGTCCACCTAGGCAATTTTTCCCCAAGACAAAGGAAAGCAAGGAATTGCCAGCCAGGATACCCCACCCAAGAAACTCCACCTAGGAAATTTCTCTGGAGAAAGAGGGAGGCCAGCAAATCCCTTAAATTCCAAAAAGGAATCAAAAAGGGAATTCCAAGAAGCAGCAGGAGCACTGCAAGGAACTTCCACCCAGGAAACTCCACCTAATTAACTTGCAGCCAGACAACGGGAAACTAAGGAATTTCCACGCACAAAAGTCCACCCAGGAAAGTCTTGCTGAGGAAGAAAGATTCCAGCAATTTCTAGCCAGGTAAGTCCACCTAGGCAATTTTTCCCCGAGACAAAGGAAAGCAAGGAATTGCCAGCCAGGATACCCCACCCAAGAAACCCCACCTAGGAAATTTCTCTGCAGAAAGAGGCAAGCCAACAAATCCCTTAAATTCCAAAAAGGGAATTCCAAGAAGGAGCAGGAGCACTGCAAGGAACTTCCACCCAGGAAACTCCACCTAATTAACTTGCAACCACACAACGGGAAACTAAGGAATTTCCACTCACAAAACTCCACCCAGGTAAGTCTTGCTGAGGAAGAAAGATTCCAGCACTTTCTAGCCAGGTAAGTCCACCTAGGCAATTTTTCCCCAACACAAAGAAAAGGAAAGAATTGCCAGCCAGGATACCCCACCCAGAAACTCCACCTAGGAAATTTCACTGCAGAAAGAGGGAGGCCAGCAAATCCCTTAAATTCCAAAAAGGAATCAAAAAGGGAATTCCAAGAAGCAGCAGGAGCACTGCAAGGAACTTCCACCCAGGAAACTCCACCTAAGTAACTTGCAACCAGACAACGGGAAACTAAGGAATTTCCACTCACAAAACCCGACCCAGGAAAGTCTTGCTGAGGAAGAAAGATTCCAGCACTTTCTAGCCAGGTAAGTCCACCTAGGCAATTTTTCCCCAACACAAAGAAAAGGAAACGAGTTTGCCGCAGATATCCCACCCAAGAAACCAACTTAGAAATTCTCCGCAGAAAGAGGAAGCCAGCAGCAAAATCCCTTGAATCCAAAAAGGGATTCCAGAAGGAGCAGAGCACTGCAAGAACTTCGCACCCAGGAAACTCCACCTAAGTAATTGGCAAACAGACAACGGAACTACAGAATTCACTCACAAAACTCCACCAGTAAGTCTTGCTGAGGAAGAAAGATTATCCAGCACTTTCTAGCAGGTAAGTCCACCTAGGCATTTTCCCCAAGACAAAAAGAAAAGAAATTGCCGCCAGGAACCCACCAAGAAAACTTCCACCTAGGAATTTCTTCCTGAGAAAGAGGGAATTTCCAAAAGGAATTCCAAGAAGGACAGGAGCACTGCCCAAGGAACTTCCACCCAGGATAACTTCCACCTAAGAACCTTGCAACCAGGACAACGGGAAATAAGTAATTTCACTCACAAAAACTCCACCAGGAAATAAGTCTTGCTGAGGAAGAAAGATTCCAGCACTTTCTAGCCAGCTCAGTCCACCTAGGCAATTTTTCCCCAAGACAAAGGAAAGCAAGGAATTGCCAGCCAGGATACCCCACCCAAGAAACTCCACCTAGGAAATTTGTCTGCAGAAAGAGGGAAGCCAGCAAATCCCTTAAATTCCAAAAAAGGAATTCCAAGAAGGAGCAGGAGCACTGCAAGGAACTTCCACCCAGGAAACTCCACCTAAGTAACTTGCAACCAGACAACGGGAAACTAAGGAATTTCCATTCACAAAACTCCACCCAGGAAAGTCTTGCTGAGGAAGAAAGATTCCAGCACTTTCTAGCCAGCTCAGTCCACCTAGGCAATTTTTCCCCAACACAAAGAAAAGGAAAGAATTGCCAGCCAGGATACCCCACCGAGAAACTCCACCTAGGAAATTTCTCTGCAGAAAGAGGCAAGCCAGCAAATCCCTTAAATTCCAAAAAGGGAATTCCAAGAAGGAGCAGGAGCACTGCAAGGAACTTTTACCCAGGAAACTCCACCTAATTAACTTGCAGCCAGACAACGGGAAACTAAGGAATTTCCACTCACAAAAGTCCACCCAGGTAAGTCTTGCTGAGGAAGAAAGATTCCAGCAATTTCTAGCCAGGTAAGTCCACCTAGGCAATTTTTCCCCAACACAAAGAAAAGGAGAATTGCCAGCTAGGATACCCCACCCAGAAACTCCACCTAGGAAATTTCTCTGCAGAAAGAGGCAAGCCAGCAACTCCCTTAAATTCCAAAAAGGGAATTCCAAGAAGGAGCAGGAGCACTGCAAGGAACTTCCACCCAGGAAACTCCACCTAAGTAACTTGCAACCAGACAACGGGAAACTAAGGAATTTCCACTCACAAAACTCCACCCAGGAAAGTCTTGCTGAGGAAGAAAGATTCCAGCACTTTCTAGCCAGGTAAGTCCACCTAGGCAATTTTTCCCCAAGACAAAGGAAAGCAAGGAATTGCCAGCCAGGATACCCCACCCAAGAAACGCCACCTAAAAAATTTCTCTGCAGAAAGAGGGAAGCCAGCAAATCCCTTAAATTCCAAAAAAGGAATTCCAAGAAGGAGCAAGAGCACTGCAAGGAACTTCCACCCAGGAAACTCCACCTAAGTAACTTGCAACCAGACAACGGGAAACTAAGGAATTTCCACTCACAAAACTCCACCCAGGAAAGTCTTGCTGAGGAAGAAAGATTCCAGCACTTTCTAGCCAGCTCAGTCCACCTAGGCAATTTTCCCCCAAGACAAAGGAAAGCAAGGAATTGCCAGCCAGCATACCCCACCCAAAAAATCCCACCGTTTTTTTTTCCGCAGAAAGAGGGAAACAAGCAACTTCCACCACCATCCGCGAAATTCCACCTATGGAATACATCTAGGAATTCCACCCAAGAAGCAAGGAACTTCCACCCAGGAACTCCACCTAGGACATTTCTTGCAAGAAAGAGAGAAGCAAGCAATTTCTAGCCAGGCGCTTCCACCCCGTTCGAATTTTTAATGAAAGGAATTTCCACCAAAACCAAAATCGTATAGTACAGTACAACCTCAATACCATAAAAAACAGACTATTGACTAATGCGAAAGCATTTGCCAAGGATGTTTTCATTGATCAAGAACGAAAGCGAGGGGATCGAAACGGTGGACATTTGCCATTTGCACCAGGTACTTAACTGGTGGAGCGGTCGCCGGCAGCTCCTTTTTCCGTATATTTAAATAGTTAACTTCCGTATATTTAAGATGGTTGGCCGGGCCAGGGAAAACCTGCCCGGAGGTAGTATAAAATACCTATTGCATTGTTTAAATATCCGTATATTTAAATGTAGGTACCGTATAATTTCCACGAAATCCACAGGCATTCCATAGGAATTACCGGTTGAAAGATGAACGTTGAAAACAATTGAAACATATTGAAACATCTCAGATATCACAGCCGATCGCAGCTGTCAGTTGGATGGGCTTGAATTTCAACGTGAGGAGCTCACTTTGGGCTCCATAGCGGAGATCCGGATTCCATCAGAGCTGGCCTATGGAAAGAAAGGCATTCCTCGCATCTCGGCACTTTCCAAGCCTGCTTTTGCTGTCGACACAGAATGTCACTGTTGGTTAAAGGAGGTTAAAGGAGAAGCATTGTCCAAATTGTCCGCTTGTAGCCCAGGCATTGTACCACCTGACTGTGAGCTGATTTTTGAAGTTCATATCCTGGAAGCCGATGGCGTTCTGTGTGCCAAAGACCAGTGTGATAGACTGCCACCTGCAGCTGTGCCGGAGATCGGACCGAACGATTTTCATCATCCCTGGTGGCTGGCCCGGGTAGAGTCACTTGGCATATCTTGGCATATTCCACTGCTGTGTTAAGTGAGTCAAGTGCAAGGTATAGGCGAGACATGGCAAGACAACAAGCTTCGGAAACTTGTGAAAACTTTGGAGAATGTTCACTGCTGTCCACTGCTGTTCACTGCTCACCCCTTCTGAAGGTTACCATCTCCGCCGCTGTACTATTTGAATTTCTGCGCTCAAACCGCCAAAGAACGAACGCCTGTGACTTGGCCTCTGAGGTTCTTCGGGCAGTTCCACTAAGATCATTTGCACAGAAAAAAAATGTTTCAGCATGTTGCAGTAGTGTGATTGATTTTGATTGTAATTTAGTTGCTTTGGATGGTTATGAACATACTAGTGTCACTGGTGTCATACTGGTTACTGGAAGTGTTTGCAAAAGAAAGGATGTTGGAAGCATCATTTGCAGTTGGAGCCCTGTGGAATCCCGTGTGGAATCCCAGGTTCTCTTGGAGAACGCTAGGTCGGTGGCGCGGCGTTCCTCCAGCGAGCTGACCAATTTCGATGTTGGAACTGCAGAGGAACCTTTCATCATTACCGATGCTGAGATGCAGATCTGATGCTGTAAATTACCAAGTGCAGGTGTTAAATGTTCTATCATGAGATCTCACAAACATTATTTGGTTTGTGCAGCGCCGGTGCAGTTTTTGTTGGCATTGTGTAACAGTGTAGCGCTGACGACCCAGAAATCCTAAGAAATCTTGAACTTTAGAGCAACCATTGATTTTGATTTGTGGCCTTAGGATGCGCAAAGTGAATGGAGGGCACGTGGAGTTTGGAATCTTCAGTGGTTTAAAGATCATTTGGGCGACAAACGGCAGCTGTTGAAATGGCTTGGTCCTGTCTTTACACGTTACCTGGATGCATTTCACAGGTCTCCCTGTTCTCACAATGCCTTGACTTTCTGTTCGTTTACTTTCGAGTTTGTTTGGTGCAATATATACCTCCATAATCAGTCGACGTTTAATTTTTTGCAGTAGCATACGGATATCTAATGATATTTATATAGTATATTTTAGAATGCATACTGTAGAAGGTCTGTGATGAGAGATGCTGATCACTGGCTTGTGCTCCTGCGCTTAGGCCAAGAAAGCCTATGGGAAGCTCCCGTGTATGAAACTTCCGTCAAGGACTATATCAACTACATGGAGGATCTTGAGAAGAAAGATCCGGACTGTGAGGAGCACAACGCAGCCCAATGCCCACGGTTCTTTGGATTTGACGAAGTCATTTTTTTTGAATCCTGTGTGTACAAAGAATGCGTATAGGCCAGGGTTGCAGACTGCAATGGTCAGTACTTAATTACAGAATATGACACACACACACATACACACACACACATACAGACATGACAGACATGACATACATGACATACATACCTATATAATTACATATTTTCATACATACCTACATACCTACATACCTACATATCTACATACCACATACCTGAACATACCTACATGCCTACATACCTGCATACCTGCAAAGCTACATAGCTACATAGCTACATACGTACGTACGTACATACATACATGATACGATCGACAATTTTTCGACATATATAAACTATAGCATACTATAATCCTATTTAAACCAGATACACGTTTGCTACACTAACGATGGCTCCAGTTGCGAGGCTTTACCTGAACGGATGGCCAGCGTTTGCTCAGTTGCCATGGCTTCGAGGGTATGTCCTGCCAGATGGTGCTACAACTCCAGCGGCATCCATGCAGGGTATTGAGGCAGAGTCGCAATATGTTGCAATGAGGGAGCCACCCTGGGACGGATTTTCAATGAGTTTCGAACGGTTTCAATGATTTTCACTTCAAAAGGGTGCACATGTCCAGGATAACTCAAGGGTCTCAAGTTCACAACGTTACAAGCACTTATCTATCAGGTAGATTTCGTTGGCAGGGGACTGGAAATGTGTGAATATGTGTGAATATGTGTGATATGTTGTGGTTCTTGGTCTTATTCATCGGATTCAGAGGGGACTACCAGCTTACATCAGCTGACATCAGCTGACATCAGCTGACAGGATCTGAATTCCCTTTTGATTCGAGAATCCGAAGCTTTGCGAGAGGCACACCATGGCACACTTGCCGGCCACTTTGGTGCTTGATTTTGGAGGTTCCATCCAATTTGGCCCATCAAATTTCCAAAGCGGGGAGATTGTTCATTGAAATTCAATGGGCCTTGGGCCGGTATTGTGAGAAGCTGTGTTTTGCCATGACTTTCAGGCAGCAAGACGAATTATGATGAATCATTGTAGACTGTGAGTAGGGTTGAAGATTGACCAAACTGTGCAGACGAATCCTTCAGAGCCTCTGCCAGTCTCTTCTGGAAGGGTTGACGGCAAGAGGAAGCTATCAACCGCCCGGAGACCAAAATCGTAAAGTACGTGACTGGCCCAATGTAAACCATTCATCAAAATTTATCAATGCCCCTTTGCCGCCTTTGCCCCTTTGAGCTCTTCAACCCTAAGAAGATATTGAGCCAATTTGAAGCTCGACGGGGTCTTTGAGGCCAGACAAAGAAGAGCAAACGCAGAAGCTGGAGAATGAGGAGAGTGACTGTCAGACTGATACCGATATGCCCGGATCGCCCCGAATTGCAGAAAGGGAGAGAGAGAAAGAGAAAGGAACAGATTAAATTTGACTAAAGAAAGAAAGATTTATCAATATGGCAGGAAAAAAGTACAGGGTTAAGATGACTGATCGCGTTTGTTGCGAGGACTGGGACCTCACTAAGATCTTCATGTCCCCAAAGGGCGCCATCACTCGTTTACACTACGACAATGGCGGTGCTCACGTTGGGACCCAAGACCAGGGCGAAGTGAAAACGGCAGCAGATTTCTGCTGGGCTGGGTATGGCTGGGTATTTGCACATGCTTTGCCATTTGTCTAATAACAAACCTACTGCCAGGGGTGACACACCGTACAGTGCAGTGTGGAAGATGTGGAAGCTGGCTGTTAAATCCAACTGGTCATAAGTATTTGACAACCAGCATCTGTGCAAATCCTTCATTGATAGCTCTTACATTGCAGAGATGCCTGCACCAAGGCTTGGCTCTCTCAAGTTCAAGGCCTGTAGACAGCACATGACAGCACTATACACGCTATACAGCACTTCAAGACGTTCACATCATGCTCTCATCACGTTGAAATATGTTGAAATATGTTGAAACATGTTGAAATACGTTCCCGCCGGGCCGGTTGGTTCCCTACTTGGTGGCTAAGCACTAGCCGAGGGAGAAAGATGTTCGTTTGCTTCGCTCCATCTGTCGGGCTGCCTGTGTGTCAGGGCTGGGGGAGGGTTTTTATTTCAAGCATGGATTCCATGGATCTACGGAAAACCATCGTGAACCCATGCTTTCAGTGCAGCCATGTGCAGCCTATGTTTGTTGGCAAGTCAATATGACAATATGACAGGTGTTGTTTCCCGAAAAAATGCTGTATACATACACGAACCGTTCCGTGAACATCGTGAACCGTGACTCTGTGCACGCTGATCTTCGAGCGTTTGCTGGTGACCTTCTCGGAATCGCAGCTGTCAGCTTCAAACGAAAAAAAATACAAAAACAGTTAAGGCCAAGCTTCAACTTACGGGATCATCACTGATGCTTAGTAATATTTAGTAATTTTATTCAATATGATTCAATATGATTCAATATGATTCAATATGATTCAATATGATTCAATATGATTCAATATGATTCAATATGATTCAATATGATTCAATATGATTCAATATGATTCAATTATGCAGCCTTGTAGCGTCCTTGTAGCGTCCTGTGCACACCTGGTGGCTAAGGGAGGGAATTCAGGCAATTCGGTACTGCTATTTATTTGTATATTGATTTGTTCATATTTTTCCTTTCCAGCAGTGACTTAGTCACCGTCAGAACGTGAGGATTTTCTGGCCCATGGCCATCCAATGGCGTGCACTTGACGATACTTCACGATCTTGACGTCTCAATGAGACGGTTGGCGAAGCGAGTGCCTCTCCGGCAGGCGACCGAATGTGACAGGAAGCCAGCCGCTAGCAGTCGGTAGCCGGTGCAGATTTCACCAAACGGTAGCAAAGTCGGCTGTTGATGTGGGTCAGCAACACACCAAATTTTGTGTGCAACTTGCACCTTTACACACCCGCACACGCCTTTTTTCCCTGCAGAAATGAGCTGCTTTGCAGGTACTGCAGCCCGTGTTGCTGGCCGGGGTCACGTTTGGGCCCAAAGCGAGGCTATCTCGCATCATCTCACATCCATTTCAGTCTTGACTGACATCCAGTTTCAATGCATCACATCTTCATCAGATTGTTAAATATTTTGATAGAAAATCGCATGTTTGCGAGCTCGAATGCTATGCTGCTATCCCTTGGCCATCGGTATTTTCACAGTCTGTGAAGCGGTTACGACGGCCAGCAGGCTTCGCTGCGACTCCGAGTTGGAGGAGGCATGCCATGGGATTCCGGGATTGGGTGCGAGTGAGACATGAAGTGAAACTGAAACATTGAAACATTATGAAACATTGTTTATCAAACACATTAATTAAAATTATATTAAATGATATTAAATGTTTTTAAAACATACCATGATTCTGGTGACACAGCAAACATAAAACAAGCAATAAATCAAGTATACTGTATACACTCATTTTGTGCTCATGTTCCAGGCGGGTGCCACGTTTGTCCATGTTTTTTCCATGTTTTGTGCAGGAGACGTTGCGCTTGGAAAAGCGCGCTGCGTTGGTGCGGAGCATCCAACTGGGCGACGTGACGGCGGTGCTGGCGGTGCTGGAGAAAGTGGATGAGCCGCTGACCTCCCTAGGCTGATTGGATCTAGTCTTCCACTGGCCACTGATTAATTCATCTGAAACACAACAGATTTTTCATCTGAATATCATATTTATCATGTGTAATTATCTTAATCCCTTCCTCCTAATACTAAACCCCCCCCCCCTAATACAAAACACGGCAGGTAGTTTTTAGTATTAGGGGGGTATTTATTATTAGGGAACCAAATCGAAGTCATGTTAATTAATTAATTAATTAATTAAATTTCCTTATATAACGCAATTAAAATATTGCCAAAAATGGCAGTTCGAAGCTTACCCCTAATACTAAATTAAAACCCTTAATACTAAAAACTATTTTTTCCGATCTCAAAATCAATTAAATTTCCTTATATAACGCAATTAAAATATTGCCAAAAATGGCAGTTCGAAGCTTACCCCTAATACTAAATTAAAACCCTTAATACTAAAAACTATTTTTTCCGATCTCAAAATCAATTAAATTTCTTTATATAACGCAATTAAAATATTGCCAAAAATGGCAGTTCGAAGCTTACCCCTAATACTAAATTAAAACCCTTAATACTAAAAACTATTTTTTCCGATCTCAAAATCAATTAAATTTCCTTATATAACGCAATTAAAATATTGCCAAAAATGGCAGTTCGAAGCTTACCCCTAATACTAAATTAAAACCCTTAATACTAAAAACTATTTTTTCCGATCTCAAAATCAATTAAATTTCCTTATATAACGCAATTAAAATATTGCCAAAAATGGCAGTTAGAAGCTTACCCCTAATTGCTAGAGTAGCTAGGCAGCTTGGAGTGAGGGATTGGGACTAGGCCCCCCTAATACTAAACACCCCGGGGTGAACTAGTTTTTAGTATTAGGGGGGAGAACCCACAAATGGTAGGTTGATTTTTAAATTGTTTTTTAAAGGGGATCAATTAAAAGTCAAATTGGCCAAACTGAAATTTTCGGAAATTGGAGATGGATGCCTGTTTTTAGTATTAGGGGGACGTTTAGTATTAGGAGGAAGGGATTATTGTCTTTTTTAAATCCTATTATCACATTTTTAATCTTATTTATCTGAATATCTTAGTATCATCTGAGTTTCTGAATGTTGATGCAACAAGATGTAAAAAAGGCTAGCAGTCTCAAATCAGTCTCAAATATTTGAGGTAATTGCCGTTATGGTACCTTGTTCAAATCGTCAACATTTCACTATATTTCACCATATTTCACCATACTTCATATTTCACCGTTTGTTTGGCAGATGTTTGGCAGGTCAGACAGCTTTACACATGGCTTGTGCCTGTGGGGCACTGCCATTGGTGTCTGCCTTGCTGAAGGCAGGAGCAAATCCCAACCTCTGCGATCGCACGGGAGCTTCGTGCGTGGCAATGGCAGCTTCCGCAGGTCATGCACACGTACTCCAAAAGCTGCTTCGATTTGCTTGATTTCATTGCAGAAATTTGCAGAATCTGTTGAACTTTTGTGCATTTTCTTGTTCCATCATGTTCCATCTAGGAATTAGATGGATTTAGAGGCTCCGATTTGGAGCTTGGGAATAGGTTCATCTATGTTCATCTAGACCTCCATTGCGGATAAGGCTTCTTGAACACAAGACGATTGTGCCCACCTATGATGTGGCCGGATTGACACCAGTTCACAAAGCTGTGGGTTTTGGGCAGCCTGATTGCTTGAGATGTCTGCTGCAACATGGAGTTGACCCGAACGTCTTGACAGGAGCTTCATCTGCTGAGAGTTGCTGGATGGCATGCCGCAGAACTACAATACGATATATATATATACAATCAACATGTTCAAACAGCAGGAATTTGCCAGAATGATAGCTAACGAGAATATACACATCATATAAATTCATACATTTTCTCTTTGAATTAGATCGCAGATATCACAGTATCAAGTGATCATGTCTTATCATCTTTCAGATTTGTATGGAAACTTTGTATTTCAGGGGATCGGAAGTGCGATAACTTGAGGAGACGTGACCCTCCCAGCCGACTACGGCGCAGCTCCATCTCGATATGAGACGGCTTTGCACATCGCTGCGCGGCTGCTGACTCGAGCCATCAACAGCCCAGATGGTGCGGGTTCATCTGAGCGACAACAGCGACAGCAACGAGAGCTGATGAGGATTCTGTTGGAATTTGGAGCTGATGCCTTGGCCCAAGACGTTAATGGTGACACGGCATGACACAGCTTGAAAGTTCTTGTAATTGCGCAGATTGACCTTAGACTTCTGACGACTTCATGGTATCATATGACATTAAAATGCATTAAAATGCATTAAACATGGAAAAATTGGAAAATCATGGAATCATCGATCTGAAGGTTGATTTGAGACTGGATGTCAGATGCTTGATATATGCATGATATGCGTGATATAGTCTGTGGAGGTATTTGATGAATTTGGTTTGGCCAATTGAGGCGACACTCCGTTGCACTACAGCGCTCGTACCGGTGATGTCTGGGGATTCTGCTTGCTCTTGCAAAGTGTCGATGATCCCAAAGCAGCTCTACTAACATGCAATGCCTCAGGTGAAGATGTCTGGAGCAGCATCCATGATTCCACTTTTCCAATCCGAATAGCTGCAAAGACAGCTCCAGGAATGCTGCGTCTGAAGCAACGCATAAAGCTGCCGATTTCTCCAGACCAGTCGCTTGAGTAAAAGCTTCCTGACAGCTCTTGCAGAAGGATTTGAGATGCAGAATGATTTGTTGTGATCGATTTGCGCGTGTTTGTTACTGTTTGTTCTCTTTGACACACAACGCAGACTCTGGTAAAATTCATTCCACTGTTGGATACTGTTGGCTTTGTATCTCAGGATGGAGAGCACCTTCATCCCTTTGAGGGTGACGAAGGTTTGCTGAATGGTTCCTGGCAGCTCAGCTGATTTCTGATCCAAACATATCTATATACCATCTGGTTATTTAACAACATAGCCATGGAAAATTTGTAATAGGTAAACCATCTATAAATGGGCCATCTATACCATGGCTATGTTAGTCATAACCAGAGGGTAAACCATCAGCATTTTTAAAACCCCAGCCGCATCCCAGCCGCATCCAACTGCTGTGGTCTGCCGAACGGTTCCCAAGGCTCGACCCGTTAGACCCGGAGGTCTTCAAGAAGTGGCCGGACCGGCGATGGCTGGAAGATCATTGGGGCGGAAAATATTAGGGAAATATATGGACATGTGCTTGCAATTGGGCTTCAATATTCATTGAAACATATTGAAATTTTCTGAAACCATTGTCTTTAGACGAGCATTGAAGATAGCCTCGCTACAAAGGAAGAGGCTCGTAGGTGACAAAGAAACCAAGTTTCACAGTTTGGTAAAGAAACCAAGGGAACAAGGTGACTTGTAGGCATTGTAGGCATTGTACTGTAGGCATTAGTAGTCCATGAGATGTTGCAAGTTTGACAGCCCTTTTCAGGCCTGCCCTTGATGTCCCTGTCCCCGAATTCGTGGTGCAGGATGCCAAAAAAGCCACGCCCTATGTAGCTGTGGTGGAAGCTGGTGAGACCATCGTTGCGCCCAAGGTGAGGGGAACGATTTGACGCTGCAGGCACTATCGCAATCTGATGTGGTCCAAATCAGCTGCAAAAATGGTCCCTACATTGGAAAATCTTGGAAAAAGGGGAAGATATGGAATACCTGCCATACCATCACGCTAAGGTAGTCAAATGCAGTCTGGTCAAGATCTCGTCACAAAAATCTGTCCAGGGCTGGTGGCACTACGCTGTGTCGCTAGACAGCTCTGCCACATGGCTTGAATCTCGTGGGGATGCAGACCCCAAGGACAGAAGCATTGCACTGGCACTAAGTATCATCTTGCAATTTCTTGCAACTATTTGCACTTGCGTTTGTATGACGCTTGTATGAATTGGTGCTTTCCACTACTGTAATTAGTTCCGCCAAGTATTGCCAAGTTGCAATCAGGTGGATCTAAACGACACACTAAAGCCGTAGACACAGGCCTGTGGAGCATACTGAGCAGCAAAGGTTACCATCATGCGGAACTTCTACAGTACCAGTAACCAGTGGGACTTGATACTTGGCGCAGATGGAATTACAGTCTGTGAGCAAACATATCAATTGCAGCTTGCAAACAGGAGTGACTGTGACGGTGCTTCTTTCAGACGTGCAACCAGCATCAGCCAGTGTTTTGTTTATGGGGTTTACTCCGTACTCCGAGCACAGATGTGTCGTGGCCAGTTTTAATGGTGAGCGCGTGTCATCTCCCAACTTCTGCACCCTGCCAGAATTCGCCGCAAAGACGGGGGCTTGGCCAATGCGATTGCAACACATGTCGCTTGGCATCGCTTGGCATCGCTTGGCATCGCTTGGCATCGCTTGGCATCGCTTGGCATCGCTTTCTCATTTCTGAATATTTCTGATACGTTGGATCCTGCTGGGATGATTTCGAATTGCCTATTGATCGTTATTGATCGTTATTGATCGTTATTGATCCTATTGTTGATATTGTTGGCTCTGAAGGTGTTGCGGAAGCAGCCCAAGCTCAAGAATCAGCCCGACTCGGTGCCTGACTTTATGAATTGATACATGTTGATACATCATATGCATCTGGAAGGCTCCAAAACGTCCGCTTCGCAGGACCCGGGCCGCCCATCCTTCCATCAACTTCTCCGTTCACTCCCCTCTCTGCTGAGGTCATCAACGAGATTGCCACAAAAACCGTGCTGAAGCTGCGCCGGGAACCTGGGGTCACCATGCGGAAGTCAGGAAGTCTTCGATCTTATTCGAATAATTTATTACATTTATATACTTATTTAATAAACTAAATATACTATTTAACTTACAGAACTATTTATTACTATCCTGCAGAAATTGCAGAAATTCCACCAATATAAGAGAATTACTGTCATTTAGTTAGTTCTGCATGCTGGAATGAGGTTGCTCTCAACATGTTTCAACTCTGTTTGCGACATGCAAGTGGGTGAGGCGAAACTTTTGTGGAGAATCGGCAGAAGCTGGTGGCAGAATGATCGTCCATGAGTTTCTGCATCAAAGGGCCTGACACAGTCATGGGATTCAACTTTTACGCATGCCCAACAAATATCAAAAAGGTCATTCGATTGACATCTCTAGCATTCCAGCCATTTGGGTCGTTCCTTTGGTGCGAATGATTTTGGACACCAATGGTCGGATGAAAAAATGTGGGGCGACGGCGCTGATTCTGCGTTGTGGCCTTTGAAGGTTGACCAGTGATGACCCATGGCATGTGCTGAAAGTTGTTCAAGCGAACGCTGATGTTTTAATCGTTGCCTTTTCCAAATGTTTTGTATGCACTGTAGTGATATGTTGGCTGTTTGGGGGCAAACCTTGACACGCTCCTCGCAGATGAAACATCAAAGGTGTAGGAAGGGTTGAGTTTAGGGCTTAGGGCACAAGCTCCCGGTCCACTCAAAGCCCGAAAGCCCGAATTCAAAGAGGTCAAGACGGGTCAAGATGGCCAAATGCTCGGAATTGGACCAGACACAGACTTTCCAAAATTTTCAACAGAGGAACTCGTGGACCGATGGACCAGGATGGACCAGGATGGACCAGGCCATGTGAGCCATTGCAACTGAGGCCCTATTTTTTTTAGCAGCCCTTCTAGCGCTATTTACAGATGTGCTCGCATACGATGACAACTTGACTGGAAACTCAAGCGAAGCAGCGTTTGTGTCTCTTGGGCTTGTTTATACTGATCTTAACTGACCTTAGAAGCTCACGTTTTGCACTGACCAGCACCGCATGCAGCAATCTCCAGTCTAATTCTATCTAATTCTAAAGCCGTGAAAGCCGTGTGCTAATGATTGACCCTGAGGTGCGCAGTTCCTGAATCCTACTCGAGGGAAAGCCTGAAGAAACTGATCGAATTAAATTGTGCAAAGGCCGGCCCAGCTGATGACGTCAAGGAATTTGCAGTGCTGCAGAACGGTCCATGTGTGTTTTTCCACGTCTTTCCATGTCTTTCCTTTGAAGTCAGTGTTTCTCGACATGTTCAAACGCAACAATTACATATTATAATTACATACAATTGCTGAGTTGAAGCCCAGTAGTGTAGGATGACGTAGAATGTACTGTTCATATTCCGTTACTTGGACAAGATTTGCTTGTTTGGGACATTTTGGGACATTTTGGGACATGGGAATCATGGGAAAATCGAATACAACCGACTGGTCATGACTGGTCCATTGTGAGGTCACCAAATCTGTGGAGGATTTTCGATCCATGGGATCTGGCGAAACAGATCTTGACCGAGGTGCCATGCTTTAGACATGCGTTTGGAGATGTGGAGAAAAGATGAAAAAGATGAAAAAGGATGAAGCAAGGCATGAAATATGAAGAAATTCTAAAGAAATATGAAGAAATGCATAGAACATAGGTAGAACATAGGTAGAAATGCCCCTCAAAAAGTGCCGTCTGAGGGTCGCCCAATGTCTTTGTCGGGCGGATCTGAGGCCTGGTGATGCTGCTTGGGGATGACTATAGCCTGGACAATCTTCAATGGCACGCGAAAGGCGATCTTGCCTTGGAACTGTGCCAGAATGCAACCAGGCGCGAAGATCATCGAAGATCGTAACTTCAGCATACCAACAAGCAACAAGCAGAGTCTCAGAAGATCTCAGAAGAGTCGCATCCAGCTCCCTTCATATGTCATAAGATGTCATAAGTGTCATAAAGATCATAAATATGTATATATATATATTATAAAGATCGTAAAGATCATAAAGATTCTAAGAGTTGCATGCAGACGCTTGTGAGAGATGGGGTTATGAATGGTTATGAGTTGTGACATGTTGTGATCAATGTGTTGTTATGGTAGGCAGATTGTTGACACCGAGCTTAGCCTTTGGAGACTCACCGAGAATGAAAGCATGACACTAACCCGAGAAGCGGCAACCCTGGCGGTGAATGCGCCACTCGCCAGCAGTTAAACACACGGCAACACTCTGTGGCATTTGACACTACAATGTCGCCTTGTTATTGCGAATCATTCATTCAGAATGCGGATTTTATTGATATTCGCACACGTGCATACTATTGATATCTATAGAATCTATACTGCATACTGCATTGTTGAAAACCTTCGTAGATCAGTTGCAGTGGTTGGGACATCTCTCACATAAACCCACATGCATATTCCTGAATCTCCCTGAAACGTGTCAGGTGGGGTGCTGTGATGCTCCAGGGCCGGAAGTGCTGCACATTGCCTTGGGCTGAAACGTTTGTTGAAATCACATTGAAATTATTGAAACAGATCTAAATAGATCTAACTTGAGGTCAAAATGTGTAGATGAAACTGATGAAACTTGAGCCTATTTGATCCTAGTTGAAGCATCATCCCGTCATATCCCGTCATCACAACACCGCTGTTATCAAGGCCTCGGGCTCCCTATTGCATCGACACCACTTGGTCAGCTTCAACAGCAACTTGGTCCAACTTGGCCCAACTTGGCCCAACCCCGCCAACAGTGAAGGTGATGTGAAGGTCAGACCAGTCATTTACCCATTCTTACCGGTCATAAACTGGTCATTTAGTATCACTTGGTGTGGCTTGGTTTTGTGCTTGTGCGGATTTTTGCAGCTTGTGCCATCTGAGAGGTGGCACTGTTGGTTCCAATCGCGTTCCTGGCCATCTTGCGCCTTGGTTCTGAGTTCTACCAGACAGAACAGCATGATATCAAGTGATATCAAGTGATATCAGGTGATTCAAGCTGGCAAAAGCTGGCGAGCTAGAGAATCCATGCGCATTGGCGGCATTTGAAGATTTTGTACACTCCGATAGACGATAATGGTGTTTACTATTGAGGTTTACTATCTCAGTGGTGTCGTCTTGGATCCTTCCGCAGCCAAGCAAAGAAACCGAACAGATGGTAGAACGTGCCTGGGATAGCAGTTAGTAACAAGCGGTTACAAGATTCTAGGCACAAAAAGGGAACAAGTGTGTCAGGCAAGCGCAGGTTGCAAAGTTTTGCAAAGTCAAGTGCGCATGTTGGACGGTTTCCGAAATTTCCAGAACTCCAAAAGATTTTGCGGAACTGACACACACTCATGTCCCCATATGTCCCCCAGACACAGCAGACACACGTTGAACGCGATTGGCATCGATTGGCCGATGCAATCCTTCACGTCAGGCGAGGAAGTTTTTCCAAGCAGACCTGGATCTCGAACTCCAAGAGTCTCTTGCAGGAGTGCTTTGAAAAAGGTGCCTCGGCGATGTCGGCATGGCAAATCTCATCAGGATATCTCAGGATCCAATAGCTTATGACTGCTTATGACTGCTTATGATATTATCAAATATGATCAAATGCTTTGAGATGACACTTCACTCATCTTCACTCATCTTCACTCATCTTCACTCATCTTCACTCATCTTCACTCATATCAAACATTCCACATCTGGCTCTCAGGCAGTGAGATGCCATTTTGGCAGTCTTAATATATTTAATATAGTCCTCTCTTCCGTTTGAAATCCTCCCAGCTTCCAAGGAATTGGAGGTGGAGTGGTTAGAGCGACATTGCCTGCGTGTTTTGCCGGGCGCTTCTGACTTCGCCAACTCCACCAGTAGTCTTTTTGGTGCCTTGAAAGAAACCTTTGACTTTCAGGCCGCTGCTGAAGATTTTGGGACAATGTGGGCTATTTGTGTGTGGTTGTGTGATGTTGTGTGTTCAGTGGTCACTTTGATGCCACTTGTCACTTGACATGCCATGCGCAAATCATGGTGTCAAATCTGTACAGTGTGCACCAGTATGCCCGCTCCAGAATTTGCTTATTACGATTATATATTATTATGTCAAATATTGTCAAATTATGTCCATCTTGCCAATGGAGATGATATGTTCTGTGGTCGACTTGACCCATCTTGACCCATCTTGACCCTTCGTGTATAGCACCATCCAGCTTCCGTGCAGCTTCCCAGCTTCGCAGGCAGATAGTGTCCGAAATCAGTACGAACATTTCCTGTCGCTGTGGCGCTCTTCTTGCGCCATGGTGGCTGACCGCAGCGTGGGCCATGGTGCATCGGTCAATGAGACTGTGCTGCTGCAGGAGGCTGGGCATATCAGCCCTATCATATCTCCAAGAAGTCAAGGAGAAAGGACCTAAGGACGAAGGAGTGAAGATGGGTGAAGTGAGTTCAGAATTTAGGAACATCGAAATGCGCAAAGGCATACCTGCTCTGAGTTTTCTTTACTCCTATTTCACCAAGGAGTTGTGAACCGACAAGAATCTACATTAGAAGATATTAGAAGATATTAGAAGCATGTGAGTCGTTGTTTGGATTGTGCATGTGCATCACACATTTTGTATAGCTATTATCCCGTTCCATTCGGTACAGTACATTTGTGCAATTAATTTCTGGCACTTCGCACACAGGGTTATTTGGATCTGAAAAATACGCTGCTCGTTTTTAAGCAAATCTATTCCGCTTTTGTGTTGCAATTTTTGTTCTTCCCTGGATTATTTTTTTTCAGAACTTCATTGCAGAATGTTTTTGTTACAGGATCGTTATCCATTGAATAGATTGAATATGATTGAATATGATTGAATAGCGTGTTCGGAGGTGCCACCATGTGCCACCATGTGCCAC